CGCCTTCTCCTGCTCCTCCCCCTTCCTTAGAGTGTCCACCGCCTGTCTTGTCGCCACCACAGCTACAGCCCACCTCCCCGTTGCCTGCTCCGTCTCCGTACGCTGGTCCGACAGGAGGTCTTGCTGAGCGTCGTGAGCCTGTGTCTCGTCCTGTGTCGCCTGTTCGTGCTGCTCGCACTAGTCGTCGTAGTCCGCGTCCTCCTCCTGTTGCTGGCACGCATCGGATGACTCTGCGTCCTTCCACTGCTCCACAGCGTGTCCCTCTACCGTCTCCTCCTGAGTCCTCTCTTCCTACCCTTGCTGACCCGGAGTCTGACTCCCTTCGTGCTGCTAGTCCTACTGTCACGCGTCTCCTAGCCACTGTTGTCACTGACCCTTCCTTTGAGTCTGCTACTGCGTCTGCGCTGGTTGCCGAGCTTGTCGACTTTGCTGCTCGCTGTCGTCTAGACTACGCTGCCAGTCTTGTTGCTGAGTCTGAGTCTGTCTGTCCTCCGTCCGTCGGGGGTGAGTGTGCCCTTGGCACGGACGTCCTTGAGGACAGGCAGGAGGAGTTCCAGTGTTTGGCTGCTGCTTCACCTCATCTCGTGTCCATGCTGCTTGTCCCTGAGGGAGACCCGGATGCACTAGACATCCCGACTCCGCGCTCTTACGCAGAGGCGGTTGAGGGTCCCTACTCCTCTCAGTGGCAGGCAGCCATGGACGCAGAGATGGCTTCCTGGAAGTCCACAGGCACCTACGTCGACGAGGTTCCCCCACTTGGGGCGAACATTCTCGATGGCATGTGGATCTTCAGGGTGAACCGGCCGCCGGGTTCTCCGCCTGTCTTCAAGGCGCGTTACGTTGCTCGTGGCTTCAGTCAGCGGCAGGGAGTTGACTACTTTCAGACCTTCTCTCCCACCCCGAAGATGACCACTCTTCGGGTACTGCTGCACGTCGCTGCTCAGCGTGACTACGAGCTTCACTCTCTTGACTTCAGCACAGCCTTTCTACAGGGCAGCCTGCACGAGGAGATCTGGCTGCGCCGCCCACCTGGCTTCACTGAGTCGTTTCCCCCTGGTACCCAGTGGAGCCTCCGGCGGCCAGTCTACGGTCTCCGCCAGGCACCTCGTGAGTGGCACAACACACTGAGGACTACACTTGCGGCTCTTGGGTTTGCTCCTTCTACTGCTGACCCGTCGCTGTTTCTACGCACCGACACTTCACTGCCGCCGTTCTACATCCTCGTGTACGTCGACGACTTGGTCTTTGCTACTGCTGACACTGAGGCACTGACTCTAGTGAAGTCGGAGCTGCAGAAGAGACACACGTGCACAGACCTGGGTGAGCTGCGCAGCTATCTTGGCTTGCAGATCACTCGGGACAGAGCACGCCGCACCATCACTCTGACCCAGTCACACATGGTGCAGCAGGTCCTTCAGCGCTTCGACTTCCAGTTCTCCTCGCCACAGTCCACTCCTCTGCCTACTAGTCACTCGCTCTCAGCTCTGCCTTCGGATGAGTCCGTAGAGTCGAGTGGCCCGTATCCAGAGCTTGTGGGCTGCCTCATGTACCTGATGACCTGCACTCGCCCTGACCTCGCTTACCCTCTCAGCATCCTGGCACGCTACGTTGTGCCCGGGTGACACCATCCAGAGCACTGGAAGGCAGCTAAGAGGGTGATGTGTTACTTGTGCAGTACGTCAGGCATGGGGCTCGTGCTTGGAGGACGGGGTCTAGTTGTCCTCACTGGTCACGCAGACGCTTCTTGGGTTGACGACTTGGCTACGCAGCGGTCGTCACAGGGTTACACCTTCAGCCTTGGCTCCGGTTCTGTCTCTTGGCGGTCTACCCGCTCTTCTTCTGTTCTCAGCTCTAGCTGTGAGGCTGAGATCTACGCAGGGGCCATGGCTGCACAGGAGCTGCGTTGGCTCACCTACCTGCTGACCGGCTTGGGCGAGGTGCCTCGTTCTCCCCCAGTTCTGTACGTCGATAACAAGGCAATGATTGCTTTGTGTCGCGAACAGAGGTTGGAGCACAGAACGAAGCACATCGCTCTTCGCTACCTCCTTGCTCGGGAGCTGCAGCAGCGTGGTCAGCTTCGTCTTGCCTACGTGGCCTCTCAGGCCAACACTGCTGATGTGTTCACCAAGGCACTTTCGCCTCGTGACCATCAGCGCTTCTGTACTGCTCTTGGCCTTGTTCCTGTGTCTTCTCACTTACTTACTTCTTGACCTTGCCTGTACTGTGATCTATATTGTATACCGGCATGCCTACACTTGTTAGGTAGTGATCACTGTACTTTTGCTTTTGCATATATATTTCTGCATGCGGACTGGCCCTTTGGCCCTTTGCTTGTGCTCAGATTGTGTGGTGACGTTGTGATCCACCCTGAGCTTGCTTTGCTTCTCTTGACTGGTCTTGTGACCCCTTGTTCTCCCCCACTTTGCCTATGGGGGTGTGTCAAATGATATATATGTTTAGGCTATAGTGGGGTAGCCAACATGGGGTACAGCCCCTTTTAGGGTTTCATATTTGTACCAATCTCATCCATAGTTCATTCCATTCCTGCCTACTATCTTAACATTCATCTCCACCGTCGTTCGACTGCACGGGATACCAGCCGCGATCATCAGCGACCGCGACACGAAATTCACCAGCAACTTCTGGCGGAACCTGTGGCAGCAGTTCGGCACGCGACTGCAGTTCAGTTCATCATACCACCCCGAAACCGACGGACAGACAGAACGGACAAATCAGACCATGGAACAGCTCATCAGAGCCACGTGTGACGACCCGACCACGTGGGAACAGCAACTGCCACTCATCGAATTCGCGTACAACAACTCGCAATCCGCCACGACCCAACAGTCACCATTTTACCTAAACTACGGACAAGACCCGACAGTACCCATGACCCCGAATCCCGACAACCCAGTACCACGAGCACAACAGTTCGCCGAAATATTACAAGCAGCACGGACCCGGGCAGCAGACGCAATAAAAAAATCGAACATCATCGCTAAACGCAACGCCGACCGCCACCGCAGACCTGTCACTTACCAGCCCGACGACCTAGTTTTACTTGACACTCAAAACCTCCGACTGCCCATCACCCCGAAACTCCGACCCCGATACTGCGGGCCATTTCGCATAAGCCACATGCTTACACCCGTCACCGCCCACCTCCTCCTTCCTGCTGACTGGTACATCAGCCCCTCATTCCACGTCAGCCTGCTTCGCCCTTACGTCCCGTCCACGAGCCAACTGCCACGCAATCGCCCAGCCAGCATGACAAGACCACCAACTGAACCAATCATCACCCCCGAGAAAATCCTGAGTCACAGAGTTCGCGACCCTCGAGGAGCCCGAAGGATCGAGTTCTTGCTCCGCTGGAAGGACCGTACACCCACCGAAGACAATTGGGTTCCCCTGGACAGAATCGAAAACCACCCCGTCCTCACCGAGTATCTGCGCAGCCGAAATTTCAGGGATGTACACGCACTTTCGTAAGGAGGACTTCCTTAGGGGGGGGGGTAGTGTAAGGAAAATTCCTTTTCCTTACTTCGCGTCCCCGCTCAGCGCGTACACCACTGTAGCACCACAGTCAGCACCGTTACCACTCGCAACCCTCACATCGACAATCCTCCCGCCACCTTCGCACGTCGCACCCCGACCTCACGGCTCGATGGGTAACCCGCACTCCGGGCCTCCGCTTCGACACTTTTCCCAACCTCAGTCCCAGGCCCGTCACGCGACAACCACAGTCCATTACCGTTACCACTGTAGTTTCGCTATATAGTCTTCGCTCATGCCTTCGCTCATTGTACTCTTGCTTCGATAGTGCAATTCTCGTTCGTTCACTCAATTGCACTCGTAACACAACACCATGCATGCACCTGTCAAATAACTTAATGCACCTGTAGTAGCATGGCTGCGTGGTTGGTGCTGGTGGCAAGAGAACATGCAGAAGGAACTCCCTAGTGGTACATTCATGACCTACCGTACTACACTCCACCTCCACCTACCCTAAAGCAGCAATAAAGCGGTGACGGAAGTATACGTAAGAAAGCATGGTGGCTGGCAAGAATCTTCTTAAAGTCAAACCCCATTTCACACGCAATCTAAGTGACACCATACCACATGGCAGTGGTGTGAGTGAAAGGTCCTCAGGGCTGGTACAAACGCGCCCAACACTCTGCCTAGGCTGCGATTGTTTCACTCCACAAACCCCCGTCCCTTCCCATCCCTGCTCCTTCTGTTCTCGCCCCACTGCCCATGCACTGCCCACTGCCCCTCCTTCATTCATGGTCGCCCTGCTGCCATCCTGCACCACCCCGTGACTTGACCACTCCCCTGACCAAATCTTCCCAAAACGTGCCACCTCCGATTTTGTTGCCAGCTGTTTGAGCGTTTCCCCCCGGCTCCTCTTCCTGCTGCTGTAATCGTCCTGACAACTCTGCTCCCCCCTCTGCTTCAACCGAAAAGCACCAAATCTGCTCCCATCCAAGCCTGCTCCCACCCAAGCCTGCTCCTATCCGAGCCTGCTCCTATCCGAGCCTGCTCCCATCCGAGCCTGCTCCCATCCGAGCCTGTTGCCGACTTAATCAGCTCACGTGGCATCTCATAATCTTCCACACGTGCGTCGCAACCTGCATCCCCTTTCCACTCCCTCCCTCCCTACTTCGCTCCCTTTTTACGTCCCATCCTCCCTCTTTCCCTCCCATACTCCTTTCACTCCCATCCTCACTCTTTCATTCTCTCCCTCTTTCTCTCCCATGCTCCAGCTTTCCCTCCCATTCTCCCTCTTTCCCTCTCTCTCTCTCTATCCCGCCCTCCCTCTCTTTCTCTCTTCCTCTCTCCTTTCCTCCCTACCTCCCAACTTCCCCCCCTCCATCCCTCCTCCCAGCCTCCCTCCACTGCAGCCCTACCTTTCAACACTTATCTCCACCGCTCCTCTCCACTGCTCTCGCCACTGCTCCCTCGCACCAAATTCCATTACCCCTACTGTGCCCCTATTCCATTCACCGCTTCCCCTCACTTCCTCCCTTCACCTCCTCCTTCACCTTCCCTTTCCCCTCATCCCTTCCCATCTCTCCTTCGCCTCCTCCCTTCCCCTCCTCCCTTCCCCTTCTTCCTTCCTCCTCCCTTCCCCTCCTCCCTTTCCCTTCTTCCTTCCTCCTCCCTTCCCCTCCTCCCTTCCCCTTCTTCCTTCCCCTCCTCCCTTCACCTCCTCCCTTCCCCTTCTTTCTTCCCCTCCTCCCTTCACCTCCTCCCTTCCCCTCCTTCCTTCCCCTCCTCCCTTCCCCTCCTCCCAACCCCTCCTTCTTCCCCTCCTCCATTCCGCTCCTCCCGTTGCCTACTCCCTTCCCCCTCCGCCCTTCACAGCTTGCCAAAGAATTACCCAGCAACTTTTTCTGCAGCGCAGCAGCAGCCACACTTTTGCGACGCCTAAATCGCCTCTTCCCTTTCCCTCCTCCCTTCATATCCCCCCCCCCCCCTTCATCAACCCCCCCTCCGCCCCCCACTTCCCCCCCATTCACCGTTTCCCAAAGAGATACCCAAACAGCCCCTTCTTCTGAGGCGCAGCCGCCGCCGCAGCAGCCGCGCCCTTCTTATCATGCCCCTTACTCGCCCCACCACCACCAGCAGCACCAGCAGCAGCAGGCGGAGCCGCCTCCGCTTCTTTCTCCCCCTTTGTCTGCTCCGCGTATTTTTTCAGCATGGGCAGCACCACCGTCTCCAGATCCGGCCGGCTCATCCTGTCCCTACATTTCAGCGCCACGTCAGCAACCTCCTTCACAATCTCCGGGTTCCACTGAACCGTCTTATCCAGATGATCCAGAATCCCATCCAACCCGAATTTCGCAAACTCAAGCACCTTATTCACCTTCTCGCCGGTCAACAGCTGCAGGATCACCAACCCTAATCCGTACAGATCCGACTGCGGGCCGTACTTCCCGGTGCGGAGAAGCAGCGGATCGATGTAACCAACCGTACCCCAGATCGACGAGTCGTTCGCGGGGAGAAACTTCGCCAGACCGACTCCTCCGACCTTACAGGAGAGATCTTCGTTCAGCATGACGTTTCCGGGTTTCACGTCCTGGTGGAGAATCGGCGGCTCGAGATGGTGGAGGAAAAGCAGCGCTTCTGACGCCTCCGCCGCGATCCGCAGCCGGTGCTTCTGCTTCATCGTTTTCCGTCCCCCCTCCGTCAGCAGACGGTCCTCGAGGCTCCCCCCCGGGAGCGACTCGTACACGATACAGCGTGCCTCGGGATTGTACCCAAGGAGCTTGACCAGATGCGGGTGGTCCGCGCGCGTGAGGATGGTCACTTCGCGGGTGAATTTCTCCGCGGCTTGGCGGGTGTTATCCGGGTTCAGCTTCATTACAAGCACGGGGGAACCGTCCGCGAGCTTTCCGCGGTAACCCGTGCCGAAGCCGCCGCGACCGAGCGAGTTTTCCCGCGCGTAGTTATTCGTGGCCTCGTCGAGCTCCTCTGCTGTGAACGTCTTTAAGGCCGCCTCGGTCCCCATCGTGATCTACCGGAGCTGGTAATATTGTTGCTGCTGGTACAGCTGGTGATAACGTTGCTGTTGGTAAAGCTGATGATGCTGTTTTTAATCCCTAAAAATAAAACAAGTGCTGCTGTTGCTTGAGGGTACAGGCTGTTTTGCCGCGAATAGCACGGCCTATGCTACCTCGTACTCCGACACGTGGCAACAAAATGACATAAAGTTGCGAGTTAAAAATGTGGAACTCGAACCAGATAATAACTGCCTCACGTTACCTGCGTCTGTCACACTCGATAATGGCCACACCGATAGATACCCGCTAACAACAACTATTAGCAGCAACGTAGCAACGTCCACCACTAACTTGAATATCCTTGACTTATGTCACCAAGTTCACATATTACGGTTGCTCCCGTTGCTCTGCTGAATAAACTAGACGCGTAATGTAAAGGTAACGAACTCGAGAAAAACTCGCAACCGAGAGTAAGGAATGACGAAGGCCGCGATGGTCGGAGACTAAGGACGGCCGAATATGGGCCCTTAGAAGACCAACTATTTGAGCCAGAGTTGATCTGAGCTACAAATGCACCAGAAAAAACAATTCCCAGCCCTCTAGGTATTGCTGCCATATTGTTGTCTCTAGCAAAAGGATCAGATCAGTGCATTTTCTGGCTATTCAGACATTTTTTTTCCCTGGCCTTTCGCCCCGGGTGCCTAGCGGGTTCGTTGCTCACGCTTGTCAGCTGAAGAGGTACAAGGTTTGCTGAGATGCATTTTAGCCGATTAGAAGATTTTAGAGCGTTACAGGAAGATCCAGTGAGATACAGTGTGATGAGGTGTGGTGGCATGGTGGGCGTTCAAACTTGCTCGTTCTATTCGTACACCCCAAATACACTGGTGCACACAGTTCCTAAACTTCACGGAAGGGGGATGCTATGCTGTGGTGGAGGGAGAAACTGTCAGAAAGAAGGGTCTTGTTTCGTGCGGTCGATTCACTGTTGAATTAGCTTTCGACTTGCTGCCGCGTTAGTGGCGTGACGAATAAATTTCTCTCTACAATGATAGATGCATATCCATTCAACAATGTTAGATAATATCAGTGTAGCAGACCTACCCATTGTAGACAACATATTGTTACAAGGTCTGCATTATAATAAGCGCTAGCTGTGAACTGGAAACCGTGATACCATGTACACTTTACACGAGCTGGCCGCAGTCCTGAATAGTAACCTCCACCAACGTCTTGCCACTGTCGCTACCGACTGACTCCAGCTTGTCAACGACATCCATTCCTGATGAGACAAAAAGCAAAGACCACACTTTAAATCTTAAAAGATTTCAAACTTCCACAATCCCCATCTTACTGCTTGTCAACAACCACCATCCCCACACAGCTGTCTCCCTCACTCACCTACCCCCCTTACTAGTATACCCCTTAGTTCTCCCCACATCCCCTCCCAACCCCACTAAACCCACCTGAAACCACCTTCCCAAAGACGACATGCTTGCCATCCAGGTGAGGCGTAGCAGTGAAGCAGATGAAGAACTGGCAGTCTGAGAGGGTGGGGAGGGGAGGGGGAGAAGCAAGCATGGAAAGTGAGTTGGTTGGTAGCACCAACGCACATGCACACCCATCATCTATGACCACCTTCCTGGTGACGGCCGTCCAGGTAAGGCGTAGCAGTGAAGCAGATGAAGAACTGGCAGTCTAAGGGGGTGGGGAGGAAAGGAAGGAGGAGGGAGGGATGGGGGAAATGGGAGAGAAGAGGTTAGAAAGTGAGGTGGTAGCATTAACGCACAGCCAGCCCCCCAAACTGCAAACAACATCCCAAGCGACAGTCTGAGCTATGTGATACAGGAAAGGGAGGGTGACAGAATGAACACGTGGTAGTGTAGGCGAGTGATAAAAGAGAGGATGATGCAAGAGAGGGTGACGCAAGGGAGGGTGGTGAAAGCAAGGATTGATGGTGTGATCCAGTTTGAAAACGAATTCGTCAGGAAAGTGCAAAACGGGGGAATGACTTTGCACTGTGACACACATCCACCATTGTTCCTCCACTCACTATTCGTGTTGGGGCCGCGATTCGCCATGGAGAGAACGCCTCTGCCGGTGTGCCTCAGCTCGAAGCTCTCGTCAGGGAACGGCTGGCCGAATATGGAACTGCCGCAGTTGCCTCCCTGCCATGCGAAATATGTGGTAAAAAACAAACAAACAAAAGAAAACGGAAGTAAAGTTCGGACACGTAGCAGATGGAGTAGTGGGAGAAGACAGGGACGAGGCTTACTGTCGACCTAGAAGGGCGAGGGACGATGAGAGGGACGCTTGTATACAGGCGGATGTGTGACGCAGTCTGCGTTCACCACTTACCTGCGCTGTCACCTACCCGCGATTCGACGCGTACCTGCGTTTGCGACACGACCGGTGTGTCCGAAATGGCGAAAGCTTTCGCGAACGACGAAATCCGTATGTCCTCACGGACAAAGAGCGAATCTGTGGAGGGCGAAACAGATTCTTCTTCAGAAAGGAGAGAGCGCAAGGGAGCGACGAGCGGTACCTACGGACGGACGAGAAGCGGAGAGGAGGCGACGACTAGACCAAACACCAGATCTTACGGAATCATTATGGCCGTATTCTCGATAATTTCACACCCCTTAAGCGCCAACCCTGGGGTAAATACTCTCGGTCAAACGTTTAAGTAGGGTAGCAAGCAACGATTGTAGACTATCGGAGGAGGGGGTCTCGCAACCTTCTCGCGAATGGAAGAAAAGAACCCGGAGTTCCAAGGGCAGCCATCCACCCCTACTACTCACTCGGAAAATTAAGTGCTAGACTCCATACTACCCTCGTCAATCTTTGGATGTCTGTCACATCGAGCCAGAAAACGTACAGGGTACCTTCGAAATAGGGGGTAGGGGGTGTGCAATTATCGAGAATAGGGTGTACAAAGAAGAATGTCGCCTACGGGAATTTATTCTTGTCGTATCCGTTGAATGCCTCGCTCGTGGTGTTCCCTATGCCAGGAACCAGGACGAGCTTCTTCCTCCAGATCTCAAGGTCGGCGAAAATACTTGCGTAACATAGAGATTGTTACATTACCGAGCTTGAGCAACTGGAGCGCAATAACCGTATACAGTCTCCGCTATGACAACCTAGGGTGCTCGTTATTGACACCAGCCTAGAAATAACAGATATGGTAAGGAATATAGTTGCACCCCGCATGTCACGTGCCCTTTCCCAAGATGGTCAACCTACAGAGCACTTTCAGAGTGCTTTGTTCAGCCCTCCCTCCACCCCGCCCCAATGCATTCACAAATCTAAGCACAAACCAGAGTGTTTTTTAGAATTCTTAGAAACACCCAACACAAAATCCACACAATGCCAGGAAAAGGCCCAAGGAATAAGACCCAATGAGTGAAACCTGCTCTGTGAAGTTCCTGACCTGACTCCTCCTGAGCTGAGCCTGCCATATTGTGGAGGCATATCAGATTCAGAAGTTACAATTGCCTGAAATTGTGCCATCACCCTGTTACGGTTACCATACCTGCCACCTGTTCCTGCTACGGTACTCACAACCTGTTAACCAAGCATAGGAAGAGGTTCCTTCTTGGGTAATCCTTCCCCCGAGTACCCTCAGAATAGCCCACCCTTTTATGCACTCCTGCTGCGGTCACAGCTGCTGCTGCTGCTGCTGCTGCAGCTGTGCTGTTGCTGCTGCTGCAGCTGTGCTGTTGCTCGCTGCTGATGCTACTGCTGCCCCCAACCCCCCTGCAATCTCCAGCTGCGATTGCAATCACAGCAATAGCTGCTGCTGCTGCTGCCTCTGCTGTCGCTGCGGCTAGCGCTGCTGACATCCTTGGGCAACTCACAAGCTGCATCGGATTAACCACACAAAGCAACCTCCTGATGGGCGAAACTCAAGGCTCGGCTTAACCTGCGGCCTGCACGGTGACTAGACTAGCCCCGCTGCAGCTACATGCGACACAACAGCTGAACGGCCTGAGTATCAGAAACCTCCCTGCTGCTACGTTGGAAGCAGTTTGAATGCGAGAATCCCCCTGCCTGAACCTCCCTTTCCCTGGCCTCCCCCTCCCTCCCAGCCCTCCTCACCCTGCCCTGCTTTCTCCCACCCCTCACGATGCCTCCACTGACATGCCCATTCTCATGCCCCAACCCTGCATCGCCACCTGCACCCCACCTCCCTCCGCCCCCAACCACCCTGCTCCCCGCCCTGCTCCCCACTCTGCTCCCCACGCTGATCCCTACCCCCTCCCACCCCTCACGATGCTTCCACCGACATGCCCATTCTCATATCTCGACTCTGCACCCCACCACCCCCAACACCAACACTCCCACCGCCGCTGTCCCCATACATGGGCGAGCGAGCAGCAGCCTCCTCGAGTCGTCTCCACGCGAGCTCCCTGCCCGTCTGCACGTCCCTTCCTGCCTGCCTGCCTGCCTGCAACCTCCCTCTCCCCCGCCTCCTCCCTCCCTCCCAGCCCTCCCCACCCTCCTCCCCTCCCTCCTCCCCACCCTGCTCCCTGCTTCCTCCCACTCACCATGCTTCCACCGACATGCCCATTCTCATATCTCGACTCTGCACCCCACCACCGCCGCCAGCGTCCCCATACATGGGCGATCGCGCAGCAGCCTCCTCCTCCAGTCGTCTCCACGCGTGCTCCCTGCCCGCCTGCACGTCCCTCTCCTGCGCCTCCTCCTCCAGAAACTGCCTCTGGCAGTCCTCGTAGAGAGCTTGATCCATTTCCAGAAACATCTTCCTCACGTTGATGGTTAAACCGTTCACCGCCTATAATGAAGGGTAAAGGAGGATAAGGAGAGCGGGAGGAGGGAAGGGATGCAGCACAGCATGCATTGGGCACGGGGAGGAACTGCCTCTGGCAATCCTCGTAGAGCGCCTGGTCCATCTCCAGAAACATCTTCCTCACGTTGATGGTTAAACCGTTCACCGCCTGGGTGGGATAGAGGAGGGCGGGAGCGAGGGTGGGGAGAGGGTGAGACACTTTTGAGAATTTTCACTTTTGAGAATTCTCAAAACCGTTCACCGCCTGGGTGGGAGTCACTTTTGAGAATTCTCAAAACCGTTCACCGCCTGGGTGGGATGGAGGAGGGCGGGAGCGAGGGTGGGGAGAGGGTGAGGAGGAGAGGAGAGGGTCGGGAGAGAGGGAGGGATGGGAGGAAGAGCGGTGATGAAGGGGCGGAAGGGAGGATGGGATGGGAGGAAGGGAAGAGGCGTAGCGTGCACTGGGAAGGGGGGTGGGGGGAGGGGGGACTGCCTCTGACAGTCCTCATAGAGTGCCTGGAGCGTCTTTGAGACGCCTCAAAAATAACCTCATTACACCTGGAGCATCTCAAAATACATCTTCCTCACACGCCCCCTTCTCTTCTCTCCTCGCATCCCCACCCCTTTCTTCCATCGGCCTTTCGCCCTTTCAGCCTACCTTCTCGATTTCCCTCCAATCATCCTTCTCCCCTTCCCCTCGCCCCTCTCCTCTCCTCCGCCCGCCACAAGAGCCCCGGATATCAGCGGCAGCAAGGCACATCGGTTCCGCATTCTCCCTTCTTCTCACCTCACACTCTCCTTCTCCTCTCCCTTACCTCCTTCTGCCCCCGCACCTGGTTCCAGTGGCTCCTTGCATTTTTCTCCATAGCCCCGAATAGCGGCAGCACAGTACCTCTCTTCCCCTTCTCAATTCACCTCGTACCTCCGCTGTTCCTCCCTCCCCTCACAATCCCCCCCCCATCGTCCCTCCCCCTTTCCTCCTCACCGGGTTCCAGTGGCTCCTCGCGTTCCTCTCCAGAGCCCCGAAGATCAGCGGCAGCACTGCAGCTCAGTTCTGCCTTTTCACCGCTCCCCACCCCACCCACTCCCTTCCCATTCCTGCTCACCCCTGCTCACCCCTCCCTTTTACACTCCTTTCCTCCTCCCCCCCTCACCTGGTTCCAGTGGCTCCTCGCGTTCCTCTCAAGGGCCCCGAATATCAGCGGCAGCACGGCAGCGCGGTTCTGCGCCACGAGGCTGACGATGTAGTCGTTGTTCCACAGGAACAGGGTGCGCTCGGCAACCTGATCGACAGGGGAGGGTGCCCCAACGGGCGCGTGCAGGGTTGGGTTGGGGGGAGGGGAGATGGGAAAAAGGGTTGGGTTCTGCGCCACGAGGCTGACGATGTAGTCGCTGTTCCACAGGAACAGGGTGCACTCCGCAACCTGATCGACAGGGGAGTGGCGGGAAGAGGGGGGCAGGAGGGTTGGGGACATGTGTTTTCTGTTGAGGCAGCACGGCAGCGCAGTTCTGTGCCACGAGGCTGACGATGCAGTTCTTGTTCCACAGGAATAGGGTGCGCTCAGCAACCTGCATGGGTGGGGGGATGGGGAGGGGAGGGCAGGAAGGGAAGGGAGGAGGGGGAGAGGGGGAGGGGAGGGGGGTTGGTGGCGGGTGGACATAGCGACTTGTTATGAATGATATTCTGAGAATTCTCAAAAAAATCACTCATGTCACGTATGCAAGGACGTAGCGACTTGGTAAGCAGCACGGCATGGCAGCTTTTGAGGCGCCTCAAAAGTCACCCGGTATGCAGGGGGAGGTGAGAGGAGCGTGTGTGTACGGGGTGCCATGCCATGCCCCATGTGTGCCATGCCATGCCCCATGTGTGCCATGCCATGCCCCATGTGTGCCATGCCATGCCCCATGTGTGCCATGCCATGCCCCATGTGTGCATGTGTGCCATGCCATGCCCCATGTGTGCCATGCCATGCCCCATGTGTGCCATGCCATGCCCCATGTGTGCCATGCCATGCCCCATGTGTGCCATGCCATGCCCCATGTGTGCCATGCCATGCCCCATGTGTGCCATGCCATGCCCCATGTGTGCCATGCCATGCCCCATGTGTGCCATGCCATGCCCCATGTGTGCCATGCCATGCCCCATGTGTGCCATGCCATGCCCCATGTGTGCCATGCCATGCCCCATGTGTGCCATGCCATGCCCCATGTGTGCCATGCCATGCCCCATGTGTGCCATGCCATGCCCCATGTGTGCCATGCCATGCCCCATGTGTGCCATGCCATGCCCCATGTGTGCCATGCCATGCCCCATGTGTGCCATGCCATGCCCCATGTGTGCCATGCCATGCCCCATGTGTGCCATGCCATGCCCCATGTGTGCCATGCCATGCCCCATGTGTGCCATGCCATGCCCCATGTGTGCCATGCCATGCCCCATGTGTGCCATGCCATGCCCCATGTGTGCCATGCCATGCCCCATGTGTGCCATGCCATGCCCCATGTGTGCCATGCCATGCCCCATGTGTGCCATGCCATGCCCCATGTGTGCCATGCCATGCCCCATGTGTGCCATGCCATGCCCCATGTGTGCCATGCCATGCCCCATGTGTGCCATGCCATGCCCCATGTGTGCCATGCCATGCCCCATGTGTGCCATGCCATGCCCCATGTGTGCCATGCCATGCCCCATGTGTGCCATGCCATGCCCCATGTGTGCCATGCCATGCCCCATGTGTGCCATGCCATGCCCCATGTGTGCCATGCCATGCCCCATGTGTGCCATGCCATGCCCCATGTGTGCCATGCCATGCCCCATGTGTGCCATGCCATGCCCCATGTGTGCCATGCCATGCCCCATGTGTGCCATGCCATGCCCCATGTGTGCCATGCCATGCCCCATGTGTGCCATGCCATGCCCCATGTGTGCCATGCCATGCCCCATGTGTGCCATGCCATGCCCCATGTGTGCCATGCCATGCCCCATGTGTGCCATGCCATGCCCCATGTGTGCCATGCCATGCCCCATGTGTGCCATGCCATGCCCCATGTGTGCCATGCCATGCCCCATGTGTGCCATGCCATGCCCCATGTGTGCCATGCCATGCCCCATGTGTGCCATGCCATGCCCCATGTGTGCCATGCCATGCCCCATGTGTGCCATGCCATGCCCCATGTGTGCCATGCCATGCCCCATGTGTGCCATGCCATGCCCCATGTGTGCCATGCCATGCCCCATGTGTGCCATGCCATGCCCCATGTGTGCCATGCCATGCCCCATGTGTGCCATGCCATGCCCCATGTGTGCCATGCCATGCCCCATGTGTGCCATGCCATGCCCCATGTGTGCCATGCCATGCCCCATGTGTGCCATGCCATGCCCCATGTGTGCCATGCCATGCCCCATGTGTGCCATGCCATGCCCCATGTGTGCCATGCCATGCCCCATGTGTGCCATGCCATGCCCCATGTGTGCCATGCCATGCCCCATGTGTGCCATGCCATGGCGTGAGCTAATGAAATTGGAGGGAAAGAAGAAGGGAAGGAAAAAAAACATATGCATAGCCCTCAGAGGCGTCACGGCCTGATGGCCACCTGATGGCCACCTGACAGCCACCTGACAATCACCTGACAGCCACCTAACAGCCACGTGATAACCACTTGAGTCTGTGGAACCAGAGCTCCCTTCCATTCATTTTCACAGCCGCACAGTCCTCTTCCGATTTCATTCCCGCTTCTCCTCTTTTCACTAGCTGAAGGCCACCTGAAGGCCACCTGAAGGCCACCGGGCAGCCACGTGATAACCACTTGAGTGTGTAGAACCAGAGCTGAGCTCCCTTCCATTCATTTTCACCCAGTCCGTTTTCCGATTTCACTCCCTCCCCCCTCCCCCCTTCCTCTTTTCACTCGCTTCAGCCACTCCCCATACCCCGTTAATCTCATCTTTTGTCACCAAGAGAAGCAAAGGCAGTTGTCATGGCCCTCTCCGCTCCCCACCCGGCCCCACCCCCCACCTTAGATTTTAGAATAACCCTCAAATTCCCCCTCCCCTCTCTCTCCCGAGCTGCCTTATATGTTGACAAGGCAACCTTCAATCAAACCCACCCCTCCCCCCTCCCTCCCCCCCTCCCCAACCCCCCCTCCTCTCCCAAACTGCCTTAGCCCTCCCGAAGTCGAGCTGTAGGGGCAAAAATCTTCCTCCCTTCCCCTCACGCCTTCCGGCCACGAGACATTGAGGCAACCCTCACACTCCCCTCTCCCTCCGCCCCACGCTCCCCCCCTCCCCTCCCCCCTCTCCCCACCCCGCCCACACTCTCCGAGATGCCTTAGCCCTCCTGGAAGTGCCAAATCTTGACGCCCAAGCCCTCGTCTCCCCTCTCCTCCCCTCGCCTCCCCTCCCCTCCCCTCCCCTCCCCTTCCCTCCCCTCCCCTCCCCTCCCCTTCGCACCCTTCTACCTCCCCTCCCTTCCCTTCTCTTTCCTCTCCCTCCTCCCATTCCCCACCTTCCGCCCACATACAACAACTCGATAACTCACTTGCAAGTGGGAGCTATTGACGCACACCCTTCCCTCACACCCCCCCTTCCGCCTCTTCCTCCCTCCTCACCCCACACCCCATTACCTCACCGACAAGTACGAGCTATTGACACCCACCCCTTTCCCCACACCCCATTACCTCACCACCCCACACCACACCCCATTACCTCACTACCCCACACCACACCCCATTACCTCACCTCCATTACCTCCCTCCTCACCCCACACCCCATTACCTCACTGACAAGTACGAGCTATTGGCACCCACCCCTTTCACTACACCCCATTACGTCACTGACAAGTACGAGCTATTCATGCAGTAAGCGACCGGGAGAGGAAGAGCGCGCGCGGAGCAAGCAGGCTGCACTGCAACCCTGTCGCTTACCCTTCTTCTTCCCGTTCCCATCTTTCCCGACACACACACCTCGTCTTCTCTTCTCCTGGATCACCCAAAAGTGCAATTTGCTACCCCACCAAAAGCCGAGCAAGCAGGCTGCACTGCAACCCTGTCGCTTACCCTTCTTCCCGTTCACATCCATCTTTCCCGACACACACACAGCTCGTCTTCTCTTCTCGTGGATCACTTTACATTTCTCAAAAGTGACGCCCAAATCACACGTACCTCGTCTTCTCTTCTCCTGGATCACTCAAAAGTGCAAGTTGCTACCCCACCGCGTGCGAATCGACATCCCCTCCCACTTAACCCCCTGCCCTCCTTCGTCCCCTCCCCCCACCCCCCCCCCTCCCGCCTTCCCTTCCCTTACCCCCCCCCCCTCCCCCCCCCCCTCCCCCGCTTCCCTCCACCCTCCCCTACCCCCTGTTCACACACACACCTGGTCTCCCATTTTCTTGTCTCACCCGGAAATGATGCACCCCCCCCAGTTCTTCCAGATTGTTTGTTTGTTTTTATAGTAAACAAAAAGCTCCTCCCTCGCACTGTCGACGCAGGCATTTTTTTGCGAACTCTTGGAAAAAAAAAAGCAAATTGCGGAATAGCAGCAAAATTCCTAATCAAATGTCTTCGAAGCGATTTTTTTCCCCGTCGCCCCCCCATCCCCTCATCACACCTTGCGAACTCACCTTTTTCTGTTCTCACCTGGAAATGCGAGCTGTTGAGGCAGCGCGCGATGCGGAGAAACAGCGGCGCGACGACCTGCTGGAACTCCGCGCCCTGCGTGAGCTCCAGAATCTCCTCCAACTCCCCGAGAAACAGCACCTCCTTCTGGCTGTTAGTTAAGGGCCAGTACTTAAGCAGCCCGCGCAGCACCACGTCCGCGAGCGACGGGTCCTTCTCGACAAACTGCGTGATACAATACGACAGCTGCTGGTGGTATATAGACACGCTCTTGGGCTTGTGCAGCGGGATTAACGCGCGGACCAGGAACAGCTTGTGCTCCTCTTTAAGAGGCAGCGCGAACCCGTTGATTATGCTGCCCAGGATCTCTAACAGCTCCGCGATCCCGTTGTGCCGCTCCGTCTCGTAGATAAAACGGTAGAAGATGTAGTTAATCGACTTGCGGATAAACGGCCGGTGGACCATGAACTTGCCGTATATCCGGTGCAGAATGGTCTTTAAATAGTCGCGCTCGCGCGGATCCTCGGAGTTGAACAAATCTAGCAGCTTCAGCACGAACGGCTGGTCCAGGTACCGTTTCGCCACCTTAGCGTCAGTCTCGTTACTAACTACAAAGCGCAGCAGAAACTCGTAGACGATCTGCAAATGCGGCCACGCGAGTTCCATGTTCGGCTCCTCCTCCTCCGGATCGAACCCCTCCGACCCCGTGTTCTCGTGCGCGGACGGGGGGAGCGCGCGGAAGAGATTCGCGCGGAGCATCCGCACGATGTCTTCGAACACCGCCTCGCTGAACTTCCCCGTGCCGGAATTGACGTATTCGACTAGTTCTAGGAGCGTCTGCCGCTTAATCTCCTTCTCCTTCATGTTCTTAAGCGGGTCCGCAAAGTCGAACGTGTGGCAGCAGAGCGCGAGCTTGCGGATGAACAGCGCCTGTTTTTCCGGAGCCGCCACGTCCCGGAAAAGCGGGAGCGGCTCGGCGAACGGCGACACGTTCGGATTCGCTACAGCTGGACTCGCTACAGCGTTTGACTTGTCCTTGTTGAAGCTGCTCGTTCGAAGCGCCGCGCCAGCGGCAGGCGCGGCGCCTTTTGCGGCATTGGCCCCGGGAGCCTTTCCTCCTGAAGCGCCCCGGGGGGCTGGTCCCCCGGCGGGACCGGCAGGGGGCGGCGCGTGCCCGTGGTGCTGGGCGGCACCGGCGGTGCTATCGTGGTGCTCGGCTTTACTTCCTGTTTTCTTCCGACCCCCTGCGAACGTTTTCTTAACGGATTGCAGCATTGCTATGTGATTATAAGGGGGATGTGGCGAGGGGGGGAGGGGGAGGGGGAATGGATTGTGCTAGTGAAGTCCCCGTTGCTTCACATCTACTACGTTTGGGCTAACGAGCGTAGGAGAGTGACTATATCGAGTCGGAAAGACTTGCGTGACTAAAGCCGGCGGCACAGCAGACAACGAAAGCGTACGTTAGTGTATTGAATCAATGGGGAGGAACCCTAAAATCCGTCGTGGCCTGACAGGAAGTCGTGACGGCAAACTAACGCAAATGGCGGCAAAAGCTGGCAAAACGGTGCGACAAGTAGCGAGCTAGGTCGCAACCCTAAGAATGCGACCCAACGCGGGATCGCAATGACTCCGTGACTACCTACGGCTACTGTCGTATGAACCGTACTGAAGTATGTACGGAGTGACCGCTTAGGTCACTACGCCGCAGTCGAGGGTCAACTAATTAGGTAAGGCGACGCTAAAATAAATACTGTAAATCGAACGGCGGAGATGGAGGGTCTGTGAGGGGTGGAGGTGGAGAGGGGGGGGGAAACGGGGCTTGTGAAGGGCGGACTGGATGGGCGGGAAAATACCCCCACCCTGGGAAATGCTGCGAAGTGGCGCGCTTATTGCGGAATGCGCGGACAAGACCAGGAGTTTGGCGCGGCCGAATCGAGGGCAGACTGATTGGTTTAGGTGGGGGGACATTGGACGCGTGAAAAGGGGAAGGGGAGGAAGCGGAGGGTGGTCCAGGCGGGTGGTGTGTATCTCGGTGATGCCAAGTCGTGCGCGGATGTGCTTGCGCAGGGGTCCTCCGCATGTTGTGTGGTTGGTTGTTTGCGCTGCGCATATGCGCAGGGAGTTGCTGGGGTGATAAGGGGGAGGCGGAGCGACACATGCAGTCTGTTTCTCACATACAGTTTGGTGAGACGGGATTCGTTAACAAGTGCATCTGTATATCTATAGTGAGGATTCTCGATGTAATCTGAAAGGGTTATTATACGAATGGTCACTAAACAGAACGCGCTATCACGAATGGTCATGGGGTTATCACGAACGGTCATTGAAACAGGCGATTCTATCACGGATGGTCACTGGTTATCACGGATGGTCACTCGTCGCCCCATGAGGCTATCACGAATAGTCACTGAAAGAAACGCCCGCCCGAAAGTTGAAATTCTCCCCCTCACGACCTCTCACTGTTACGATTGAGGGACTGTTAGCGCGTCTATTCTGTTTGTCTTTTTCGAGTTGCACTGTTCCAACCGTAGGAAAGCGCAACATTCCTAGGAGAAGCCTAACTGAGTAACATTTTTGTGTTACAGGCAGTTCAAACACCCCAAATAATATAAAACGGGTTACCTAAACTGCGTACCATGGAATTACAAAAACGAGAGAAGCCTAGATTCATAAGTGTGCAACGTATTGCCATAGATAATTTTATTGGTTATTTTTGCCATCATATTGTGAATGCAAACTGCATATCAACATATGTAAATTAAGAGGGTTATACTGTTATCCCATCATATAGGGCTTATGTGATAGTTATTAAATTATCACCGGATTGTTTCTCAACGTACCATTTTATCTGTCGTTGTCACCGGCCACAACCACTGTTACTATCAAAAGGCCATGCGTCAAGAATGGTGTGTTGTTACGATGATGAAGAGCAAAATAGCATGGTTTCTGTTCTATGATTTTGTTGTGGAATTGTATTTATTACCAAAGTAACTTTAAAAACCTTTTTAGTCTTTGCATTATGCATATATTGGACATTAAGTCATTAGCTAGGTGCCGTGCCTCTCTCTGGATAAATGAGCATGGTACATTATTCATTACAGGCAATGGGGTCGCCAAACAAAGCGGGATGGGCTTCTTCCCTTCTATTGTATAGTAGTCTCAAACAGTGTTACTTTGGTCATAACTTTGGTATAAAAACGAGCAGATCTCTACACATGTCTTAATATAAATGATCATCATAGTCTTTAACTCTATTAAATCTCTATTCTACTAGGATTTATAACACATGCCACAAAATCAGAGTATGTTCAAGGTTTAAGTCACAGTGAATTTGTCAACTGAGAAGAAACGAGGAATGAAATGACTAAGTGAAAGTTGGGTACAAGAAGCAAACCCTAGAAAACTGTACCCCATATGTGCTACCCCACTATAGCCTACAGTAGCTATGTCATATAAATCTGACACACCCCCATAGGCAAAGTGGGGGAGAACAAGGGGTCACAAGACCAGTCAAGCAAAGCAAAGCAAAACAAGCTCAGGGTGGATCACAAAGTCACCACACATTCCGAGCACAAGTTCAAGGCCACAAGGCCAGTTCACAAGCAGGAGTACACATACATATAAAAAGGGCTAGACAAACAAGAGCAGGTATATATATATGTAACAGTACAAGCAAGGTCAAGAGGTGAGCAAGTGAGGCAAGGTAGGCACAAGGCCCAGCTGAGTACAGAAGCGCTGATGGTCACAAGGCGCAAGTGCCTTGGTGAAGATATCAGCAGTGTTGGCCTCAGAGGCCACGTACGCAAGACGCAGCTGACCACGCTGCTGCAGCTCACGAGCAAGAAAGTAGCGGAGAGCAATGTGCTTCGTTCTGTGCTCCAGTCGCTGCTCCCGACACAAGGCCAGCATGGCCTTGTTGTCTACGTACAGCACTGGAGGAGAACGAGGCAACTCTCCGAGGTCAGTCAGCAGGTAGGTGAGCCAGCGAAGCTCCTGTGCAGCCATGGCTCCTGCGTAGATCTCAGCCTCACAACTGGAGCCGAGAACAGAAGACGAGCGAGTAGCCCGCCACGAAACAGAGCCGGAACCAAGGCTGAAGGTGTAACCCTGTGACGACCGCTGCGTAGCCTGGTCGTCAGCCCAAGAAGCGTCTGCGTGTCCAGTAAGGACCACTGGACTCTGCCCTCCAAGCACAAGCCCCATGCCCGACGTACTGCACAAGTAGCGCAACACCCTCTTCGCTGCAGCCATGTGCTCCGGTCTGTGTCTCCCAGGAGCAACATAGCGTGCAAGAATGCTAAGAGGGTATGCAAGGTCAGGTCGTGTGCAGGTCATCAGGTACATGAGGCAGCCAACAAGCTCTGGGTACGGGCCACTCGACTCTATGGACTCATCCGAAGGCAGAGCTGAGAGCGAGTGGCGAGTAGGCAGAGGAGTGGCCTGAGGCGAGGAGTAAGTGAAGCCGAAGCGCTGAAGGACCTGCTGCACCATGTGTGACTGAGTCAGGGTAATGGTGCGGCGTGCTCTGTCCCGAGTGATCTGCAAGCCAAGGTAGCTGCGCAGTTCACCCAGGTCAGTGCACGTATGTCTCTTCTGCAGCTCGGACTTCACGTGGGCTAGTCCAGCAGTGTCAGCTGTGGCAAAGACCAAGTCGTCGACGTACACGAGGATGTAGAACGGCGGCAAAGAAGTGTCGGTGCGCAGAAACAGCGACGGGTCGGCAGTAGAGGGAGCAAACCCAAGAGCCGCAAGTGTAGTCCCCAGTGTGTCGTGCCACTCACGCGGTGCCTGGCGGAGACCGTAGACTGGCCGCCGTAGGCTCCACTGGGTGCCAGGAGGAAAAGACCCAGTGAAGCCAGGTGGGCGACGCAGCCAGATCTCCTCGTGCAGGCTGCCCTGCAAGAAAGCAGTGCTGAAGTCAAGAGAGTGTAGCTCGTAGTCACGGTGAGCAGCTACGTGCAGCAGTACCCGAAGAGTGGTCATCTTCGGGGTGGGAGAGAAGGTATGAAAGTAGTCAACTCCCTGCCGCTGACTGAAGCCACGAGCAACGTAACGCGCCTTGAAGACAGGCGGAGAACCCGGCGGTCGCTTCACCCTGAAAATCCACATGCCACTGACGATGTTCGCCCCAGGAGGGGGAACAGCGTCAACGTAGGTGCCTGTGGACTTCCATGAAGCCATCTCTGCGTCCATAGCTGCCTGCCACTGAGAGGAGTAGGGACCCTCTATCGCCTCCGCGTAAGAGCGCGGAGTCGGGATGTCAAGTGCATCCGGGTCTCCCTCAGGGGTAAGCAGTACGGACACGAGATGAGGTGAAGCAGCGGCCAAGCACTGGAACTCCTCCTGCCTGTCCTCAAGGACGTCCGTGCCAAGGGCACACTCACCCCCGACGGACGGAGGACAGACAGACTCAGACTCAGCAACAAGACTGGCGACATAGTCTAGGCAACAGCGAGCAGCAAAGTCGACGAGCTCAGCAACTAGAGCAGACGCAGCAGTGGACTCAAAGGAAGGGTCAGTGACAACCGTAGCAAGGAGACGCGTGACAGTAGGACTGGCAGCGCGAAGAGAGTCCGACTCCGGGTCGGCAAGAGTAGGAAGAGAAGACTCAGGAGGAGAAGGCAAAGGGGCACGCAGAGGAGCAGTGGACGGACGCAGAGACATCCGGTGCGTGCCAGGGACAGGAGGAGGACGCTGACGCGAACCGCGACCACTAGTGCGAGCAGCACGGACAGGCGACGCAGGGCGAGACGCAGGCTCACGACGCTCAGCAAGACCTCCAGTAGGACCAGTGTAGGGAGACGGAGCAGGCAGTGGGGAGGCCGGCTGTAACTGTAACTGCGACGGGACAGGCTGTGGACACTCTAAGGGAGGAGGAGGACCAGTAGAAGGCGGGAGACCAAGAACCTGCTGAAGGAGCGGAACGAAGTACGGTCGAGGCCGCGCGGCGACTCCAGACACAGGAGGGACAGCACCAGCAACCCCAGGGGCAGCACCAGCACCAGTAGCAGCTCCAGCTCCAGAACCCCCAGCAGCACCAGTAGTACCCCCAGCAGGACCGCCTCCAGGACCGACAGCAGTAGCCTCCGCGCCAACACCCGCAGCAACTCCAGCTCCAGAAGTACCCGCAGGTCCAGCAGCTCCAGTACTCCCAGTACGAGCACCTCCGGGACCCGTGGCACCAGCTCCCTCAGAAGCAACAGAACCTCCAGTACCCGCAGCACCTCCAGCTCCAGCAGCTCCAGCAGCTCGCCTCCAGCGCCGGGCAAACCACTCACGCAGCTCCTGGGGAGAGAGTGGCTCCCGGCGAGAGGGAGCACCCGGTGAACCGCCAGGCACAGCACCACCAGGCGTAGCACCCCCAGGCTCAGCACCTCCAGGCGTAGTACCCCCAGGCTCAGCACCCCCAGACGCAGCACCCCCAGGCTCAGCACCTCCAGGCGTAGTACCCCCAGGCTCAGCACCCCCAGTCGTAGTATCCCCAGACTCAGCACCCCCAGGCTCAGCACCCCCAGGCTCAGCACCCCCAGGCGTAGCACCCACACGCTCAGCACCCCCAGAGTCAGCACCCCCAGGCTCAGCACCCTCAGCAGCACCAGAGTCACCAGCGACCTCGACAGGCTCAACAGCGTCTACCTGGGACACACCTGAAGGGGCAGGACCCTGAGGGGGGAGGGGGTCTACCGGGGGGGGACCTGGTACAAGGAAGAGCGGTGGCGGGGGGAGGGACGGAGTGCGGTAGGGGAAGAGGCGGTAGTAGGGGACCGACTCGTCGAACGTGACGTCCTGGGAGGACAGAACACGGCGAGAGGTGGGGTGGTAGAACTGCCACCCTGGGGCGTCAGGGGGGAAACCCAGGAAGACGCAAGGAGCAGCACGAGGGGACAGCTTGTCCGCAGACAAGTCGCGGACAAACGCCCGAGATCCCCAGACACGGAACGCAGACGCATCGCCAACCTTCCCCGTCCACAGCAAAGCTGGGGAGGTCTCCGGCATGGAGACCCTGGGCTGAAGGTTGATCTGATGCGCCGCGTACCGAACCGCAAACGGCCACAGAAAATGGGGGGCAGCCGCATGCATCATGGACGTACGGGCGACGTCCATGACCATGCCAATGCGGCGCTCAGCAATCCCATTTTGCTGTGGAGAGTCCGGAAGCGTGAAGGTCTGGCGGATGCCTCGTGCACGACAGTAGGCTCGCAGAAGGCCAGAGGAGAACTCTCCGCCTCTGTCAGAGTGCAGACGCAGAACAGGAAAGTCCGAGCCAAAGCTCCGCCTGAGCTGGAGACGAGCTGCGCGGATCCAGTCGATCAACACCTCAGTGACATCACCCTTGCTGCGCAAGGGGAAGACTGTGGTGTAACGCGAGTAGTCGTCAACCACCAGCAGGAAGTAGCGCTCGTGACCCTGTCCACGGACGCGGGCCGGGCCCCACACGTCCATGTGAAGCGTCTGCAGCGGGGCCTCTGTCGGAGGAAACTGGGAGGAGTGAGGGGTAGCCCGCTGCCGTCCCTCGACACAGGGGACGCAGGTAGGGCCTGGCCCCGGAGGAAGGGGAGGGAGGGACCGGGGAAGACCAGAGACAAGGACACGGGAGGCCATGCTCCGGAGACGAAGCAGGGAGGGGTGGCCAAGGCGGTGGTGCCAGAGGAGAGTCTCGTGAGACAGGAGGCGACACGAGCAGGGGGCAGACTCAGGACCAGACCTGGACGCTGCAGCAAACACCTGACCCGACGCAGCTACCTGACCAGACGCAGGGACTGGAGGAGACGCAGTGGTCAGTGTGTACAGGCTCGACCCTGGCCGACGTGTAAACGTGGCCAGGTGGCGGCCTGTCCGAGCGTCCGTGCAGTGGGTCACCCGCTGACTCGCAGGAGTGAACTGGTGAACCCCCGCATCCTGTAGGTCAGCACCACTCACCGAGTTCGTAGAGAACGAGGGGAGGTAGAGACCAGACAGGGTGCCAGAGGGGGCCGCCGGACACGGGAGGACAGTGGAGAAGTGAGCAAGGACAGGACCCCCAGAGGGGTCTGCCAGGGAGACCGCAACTGGCCGGCCAAGCGGCGTGAGTGTGGTGCGGTCTCGAAAGAAGGAGCGAGAAGCCCCCGAGTCAAGTGTGAAGGTGTGGGAGGCCGAAGCCGACGCAGAACCTGAGAGAGCAGACTCACCAGCACCTGAGGGAGCAGACGCACCTAGAGCAGCAGCCTCGCTAGCACCTAGAGCAGCAGCCTCACCAGTACCTAGAGCAGCAGTCTCAATGCCCGGGTCGGGCGGACAGTCACCCTCATCACTAATAGTCACAGTATACACGGCAGCAAGAATAGCATCAAAGTCAAGGTCAAAGACAGCTACACCCGCCCTAGACAGCTCACCCCAGCGGGGGATCTCAGTGGCCTCAGGGAACTGGTGACGCCAAGCGTCCGTGAGGCGGCCAAAGCAGCGCTGGGTGGAGTGCGCACCCCCGCACTGCTCACCCGCGCGGTCGCCGGTGCGCAGGACGTAGGTGCACGGACCAGCACCCCCACCCCTCTGGCGTGCAGTGTACCACTCACGGAGCTGCTGAGGGGAGGGGACGTCACGAGTGCGCTGCTGCTGCTGCTGCTGCTGCTGCTGCTGCTGGCGCTGACCACCACCGGAGCTGACCCTCTGCGCAGCGCCACCCCGACCAGCTCCACCTCCTCCGCCGCCTCCTCCTCCACAGCCGCCACCTCCGCTCCCTCCGCCACCGCCGCTGCCTCCTGCGCCTCCACTGCCGCCACCTACACCTCCACCCCCGCCACCACTCCCACCGCCACCCCCACCTCCTCCACCACCTCCACCGCCGCCTCCACCGCCCCCGCAAGCTCCTCCAGCGCCCCTGCCCCCCTTGCCCCTGCCAGGGCGGCGTCTCCCGCTAGGGGTAGACGCTGCCCCAACCGACTCCAAACCAGCGAGGTCGGCCGCAGCAGCAGAGGCAACAGAGGGCAAAACAGGGGAGGGGGAACACCCCTCAAAGATGGGGGTGCGAGGGTCACCACGAGAGGCTCCTACAGCAACTATGCTCTTTTCTGCTGCTAGGAGGGCCTTCTCGAGGAGGTCAACGGTGAGAGTGGTGGGACAAACCGAGAGGAAGTGGTCCCTGACTACGCGAAGGGAGTCAGGGAGACGGGTGACTATGTAGTAGAGGGTGATGTACATGGGGGGGGGGTTCTTGGCGCAGAACTCAGCAGGAAGCGCAGCGCGGTAGCGAGTGTCACTAGAGCGGAGGTGCGTAATGAGGTCAGCGACTGTGGGAAAGGCAGCAAGGTCAGGGAAGAGGTACGGTAGCATGAGGCGGCTCAGTGCAGCAGTGGCAGGGGAGGAGTAGCGTGCAACTACAGCGTCGTACAAGGTCTGAGCACTCTTGTACTGGCTAAAGTGCGCACGCTCAGAGGTAGGGAGGTGGCGACGCACAGCAAGACGTGCAGCAGCATCGCGCGTGGCCCACTGTGAGCGAACGGTGGCGTCAGCATCAGCAGCGGGGGCAGGAGAGGCACCAGAAGTGAGGTCAAAGAGGGAGAGGCCGTCTGCTCTGTCGCACTGTAAGAAAAGCTGCAGGTCATCTATCCAGACGTCAAAGTCAATGGCCCGACCCTCAGCGTCAAAAGCGAGGACACTAGGGGTAGCCATGACAGCAGTAGACTAGCAGTGCAAACAGTAGGGCGAGGGCAGTGCTGTGAGAGAGGCGCTGCTCTTACCGGACAGGGCGGTTCGGGCGGCTCGGCTGCAGGGCGGCTCGGCAGCTCGGCGACTCGGCGGCTGGGCGGCTCGGCGGCGGGGCGGCTCGGCTGCTGGGCGGCTCGGCTGCGGACAGGGCGGCTCGGCGGCTGGGCGGCTCGGCGGCTCGGCTGCTGGGCGGCTCGGCTGCTGGGCGGCTCGGCTGCTGGGCGACTCGGCTGCTGGGCGGCTCGGCGGGGCCGCTGAGAGGGCGGCGTCCGGGGCCGCTGGGAGGAGGCGGCGGGGTCGCAAAGGTAAGTGGCGGGGCCGCGGAGGTAGGTGGCGGGGCCGCACAGGAAGGCGGCGGGGCCGCGAAGGTAGGTGGCGGGGCCGCACAGGTAGGTGGCGGGGCCGCGGAGGTAGGTGGCGGGGCCGCACAGTGAGGTGGCGGGGCCGCGAAGGTAGGTGGCGGGGCCGCACAGGTAGGTGGCGGGGCCGCGGAGGTAGGTGGCGGGGCCGCACAGTGAGGTGGCGGGGCCGCGAAGGTAGGTGGCGGGGCCACACAGGTAGGTGGCGGGGCCGCACAGGTAGGTGGCGGGGCCGCGGAGGTAGGTGGCGGGGCCGCGGAGGTAGGTGGCGGGGCCGCACAGTGAGGTGGCGGGGCCGCGAAGGTAGGTGGCGGGGCCGCGGAGGTAGGTGGCGATGGGCGCGACGGGCGCGACGGGCGCAACGGGCGCGACGGGCGCGACGGGCGCGACGGGCGCGACGGGCGCGACTCGGGCCGGCGCAAAACGCGCTCCGGGCAGGAAAAAAAAATTTCGTGGTGGTGGGCCCTAGGAATCGTTCCCACTAGGGAACCTGCTCGATACCATGAGAAGAAACGAGGAATGAAATGACTAAGTGAAAGTTGGGTACAAGAAGCAAACCCTAGAAAACTGTACCCCATATGTGCTACCCCACTATAGCCTACAGTAGCTATGTCATATAAATCTGACATCAACGACATTATCATAGCCAGGGCTATCAATCTTCATCCCCTTGCTGCTGAACTCCTTGTTCATCAAGCGCAGGCATAATCACTGAGCTGAGTGGTACAGCAGTGTGTTGTCGCTGGGCAAGGCCCTGCAACACGAAATGATACAAATGAAAGTCTTGCCGCTGTGGCAGCCAACGTTGATGCTGTTGGTTTTGCAGAAACTCTGACCCCAACCCCACACCCTGATGTTGTATTTCCATCCCTCCCTGCTGCTGCATCCCTCGTCCTCCTCCCAGCTGCTGCATCCCTCCTCCTCCCTGCAGCCGCATCTCAAATCCTCCTCCCTGCTGCTGCAATTCAGCTCCTCCCCCCTGCTGCTGCAATTCAGCTCCTCCCCCCTACTGCTGCAATTCAGCTCCTCCCCCCTGCTGCTGCATTCCTCCTCCTCCTCCTCCTCCTCCTCCTCCTCCTCCTCCTCCTCCTCCTCCTCCTCCTCCCCCCTGCTGTTGCATCCCTCCTCCTCCTCTCTGCTGCTGCATCCCTCCTCCTCCCCTCTGCTGCTGTACCCTCACTCCTCCCCCTTGCTGCTGCATTCCTACTCCTCCACCCTGCTGCTGCATCCCAACTCCTCCCCTCTGCTGCTGCATCCCTCCTCCTCCTCTCTGCTGCTGCATCCCTCGTCCTCCCCTCCGCTGCTGCATCCCTCGTCCTCCCCCCTGCTGCTGCATCCCCTCTCCTCCCCCCTGCTGCTGCATCCCCTCTCCTCCTCCCAGCTACTGCATCCCCTCTCCTCCTCCCTGCTGCTGCATCCCCTCTCCTCCTCCCTGCCAGGGCATCCCCACAAACCTAAAACGCTGCATATCGTCTTCCCTGCCTGGTTGCATTCCCACTCCTCCCCCCTGCTGCTGCATTTCCACACCCGCTTGCTCGATTCGCACAGTGCTCCCATGCTCTTGAATCCCCAATCTTCCCCCTTGCTGCTGCATCCTATCTTCTCCCCCATGTTGGTGTGTCCCCACACCCCCCTCCTGATGCATCCCCACAACCCTCCCCCTTTGTGGCCTACCCGTTTGCTGCCGTCTCATGTTACCCCTCCCTCTCTGCTGTCGAGGTTCTGCTCTCCCACGCCCACGCCTCCCTGCACCACTCCCTCGAGGGGATAATTGAGATCTATGTTCTTCATTGTCCACCCCGTTCTCGTCCTCACTTCTAAGGCCAGGCACTTGGCGCTGAACACGAAGACATTGTAGCCTCCTTAGACGCCCGAAGACCACTGCCTCAGCGGACCTAGGTTCTCGCAGTGTAGTGGTCACTGTTTAGTTTTGTGTAGGGTGGATATTTGCTGCTGAATCCGACATACTGGCTTCCGGCAGCCCCTGTTCACCATCCAATCTCTCCACTGATGAAGGCCCGCCAACTCCAGCCGAGGCACTTGCATGTACAGAGACGTTGGCTCTTGGGAAAATTTCGCGTATCACGTCCTCACCACCGTCCACATCACCATCTGTAGTGTCGCCTTGAAATGCACGTTGGGCAGTTGAAGCAGGGTCTTCTTGATAGACATCGTCAAATTCATTGACATTTTCTGTGAGTCCCACACCACGCTGAGAAGAGGGTACTTGTCTCATCGCGTCACACACAGCCTCTCTCCCGTGGCGTTTGTTGCACGCTCCACACAAAACAGTTTGCACGCGTCCATCAGCGCGCATCACAGTTTGGGCGTGCAATTGCCCTTCCGGCGTCAACAAGGCTTCCCACATGGCCCTGTTGGTTGCATGCACCTCACAAGTGCGGGAGTTGTGCCCAAACTCTTGGCATTTCCCACATTTCCTCAGCTTGGCTGGATCAAGCTCACCCGTCGACCGTAGCCGTTTCTCCTTCGGACGCCCAGATTTCTTCGTGTACATGGGGGGCAGCGTGACACCATCAGGAGTCACACTTGTTGGGTCCAGCATAACTATTGAGGTTTTATACACTGCCTGCAATGCCGCGACAGTATGATACCTGCTAACCATAGCGAATGCCTTCGTGACGTCATTTCGAAAGAGTGCAAAGATGTGGACGCACGGCAGTCCAAATTCACTGCACATGGACACGAATAACACGACATATACAACACTAAGGATAGAGCTTCAAGTAGAGATCAGAATGTACATGATGGTAAAGCGGTTCACATTTATCAAAACATGATTTCAATCGCTGATGATCTTGAACGTGGCTTTGAGAAATACAAATCTTTTACACAACATACCTTGTGTAGTTGCACGTGCACTCTGTGAGATCAGGTCTTAATGGGTCGATTGTTATGACCCGCATCTCCTCTGTGAGAGTACGACGGCTTATGCCAGCTATGCTTGCTTGCCTTTACTTTATTATGCTATTTCTAGCATAGGAAAATTATATGCATGCATGAATTGCTTGATTTCCTAGGCTAGGTGCTTTCCTATATTTTATTATAGTTATAGCACCGAGCTAGGTTGCCTGCACCGAATTCTGGCTTTTCGGTTGCCACCGAATTGCCTTCTACCGAATTCGGGAAGGATCTGTTCGGGACGCTTCGCGACCCGCGGAACCTTCGCGTAACACCTGGTTACGGGGCCTTGTGTCGAGCCTATATATAGCCTCGTGTTGTACCCAGGTGATCAATTCAATTCAATTCAATTCACATTCTCTTTTCTGAGCTCGATCCTAGATCCTCACACTTGGTAATCAGAGCCCGTTTACACGCGAAGTTCTTTCGACCGCTACAAACCAGTCTTCAAAAAACCGCGGGGGCGACGCAGTTAAACATCGATTTCGGGTACGTAAAACCGGTTCCGTGTTTTTCGCTCCCCCTCGATTCGGTTTTTCGGACGCGTTGATGTCAGGCATGGAAGGCCAAGGCGACAACTACGCGACCACGAGCGACATCGCGAGCCTCCGCACAGACATGGAGCATGTCAGAACATTATAGCTTATGCTGTTGTGTAGGCTATAGTGGGGTATCCCATAGGGGGTACAACCAATTAGGGTTTCATATTTGTACTCACTTCATTTCATAGTTCATTCATTCTTGTTCAAATTTTCTCATGGTATCGAGCAGGTTCCCCCTTGGGAACTGTGCTTAGGGCCCACCACATCGATTTTTTTTTTCTTGCCCGAAGCGCGCTCAGCCCGAGTCGCGCTCCGGGCCCTCACTTCGTCGAGCCGCCCTAGCGGCCCTGCACTGCGGCCCCGCCGCCCGTCTTCGCGGCCCCGCCGCCTCTCTCCTAGCGGCCCCGCCGCCCTACCTAGCGGCCCCGCCGCCCTACCTCGCGGCCTCGCCGCCCCATTGCGCGGCCCCGCCGCTCTACCTAGCGGCCCCGCCGCCCCATCGCGGCCCCGCCGCCCCATCGCGCGGCCCCGCCGCCCTATCTAGCGGCCCCGCCGCCCTACCTAGCGGCCCCGCCGCCCCATCGCGCGGCCCCGCCGCCCCATCGCGCGGCCCCGCCGCCCCATCGAGCGGCCCCGCCGCCCTTCCTCGCGGCCCCGCCACCCCATCGCGCGGCCCCGCCGCCCCATCGCGCGGCCCCGCCGCCCCATCGCGCGGCCCCGCCGCCCTACCTAGCGGCCCCGCCGCCCTTCCTAGCGGCCCCGCCACCTTACCTGCGGCCCCGCCCTTCCCTGCGGCCCCGCCGCCCTCTGCTGCGGCCCCGCCACCTTACCTGCGGCCCCGCCACCTTACCTGCGTACCCGCCACCTTACCTGCGGCCCCGCCGCCCTCTGCTGCGGCCCCGCCACCCTACCTGCGGCCCCGTGCCCTGCAGCAGCACAGCCGAGCCGCCCAGCAGCCGAGCCGCCGAGCCGCCCAGCAGCCGAGCCGCCCAGCAGCCGAGCCGCCGAGCCGCCCAGCAGCCGAGCTGCCCAGCAGCCGAGCCGCCCAGCGGCCGCGCCGCCCAGCAGCCGAGCCGCCCAGCAGCCGAGCCGCCCAGCAGCGGAGCCGCCGAGCCGCCGGGCCGCCCAGCAGCTGAGCCGCCGAGCCGCCGCGCCGCCCTCCTTCAGGGCCGCCCGACCTGCCCAGTCCGGTGAGCACAGCGCCTTTTCACTGCACTGTCCTCACCCCACTGTTTGCGCTGCTAGTCGTCTAGGGTCATGGCTACCCCTAGTGTTCTCGCCTTTGACGCTGAGGGTAGGGCCATTGACTTTGAGGTCTGGGTAGATGACCTGCAGCTGTTCTTACAGTGCGATAGGGCAGACAGCCTCTCTCTCTTTGACCTCACCTCTGGCACCTCCACTGCCCCTGCTGCTGATGCTGACGCCACTGTTCGCTCCCAGTGGGCCACGCGCGACGCTGCTGCACGTCTTGCTGTGCGTCGCCACCTCCCTACCTCCGAGCGTGCGCACTTTAGTCAGTACAAGAGTGCTCAGACCTTGTACGACGCTGTAGTTGCGCGCTACTCCTCCCCTGCCACTGCTGCACTGAGCCGTCTCATGCTACCGTACCTCTTTCCTGATCTTACTGCCTTTCCCACAGTCACTGACCTCATTACGCACCTCCGCACTAGTGACACTCGCTACCGCGCTGCACTCCCTCCTGACTTCTGCGCCAGGAACCCCCCCCCCATGTACATCACTCTTTACTACATAGTCACTCGCCTTCCTGACTCCCTTCGCGTAGTCAGGGACCACTTTCTCTCTGTCTGTCCCACCACTCTCACTGTTGACCTCCTCGAGAAGTCCCTCCTAGCGGCCGAGAAGAGCATAGTCGCTGTAGGGGCCTCTTGTGGTGACCCGCGCACCCCCATCTTTGAGGGGTGTTCCCCCTCCCCCCTTCTGCCCTCTGTTGCCTCTGCTGCTGCGGCCGACCTCCTTGTTCTTGAGTCGGTCGGTGCGGTGTCTGCCCCTAGCGGGAGACGCCGCTCTGGCAAGGGCAAGGGGGGCAAGGGCGCTGGAGGAGCGAGCGGGGGCGGTGGAGGTGGAGGTGGCGGCAGTTGGGGGAGTGGGGGTGGCGGTGGGAGTGGAGGTGGGGGTGGAGGGGTCGGTGGCGGCAGTGGAGGTGGAGGTGGCGGCGGCGGTGGCGGTGGGAGCGGAGGTGGTGGAGGTGGCGGAGGTGGAGGCGGCGGCGGAGGCGGAGGCGGCGGCAGTAGCGGAGGCGGCGGAGGCGTCGGAGGCGGCGGGGGTGGCGGTGGTGCTGGTCGCGGGCCTTCGCAGAGGAGTGGCTCCGGTGGTGGCTCGCGCCAGCAGCAGCAGCGTGGTCGTGACACCCTGTCCCCTCAGCAGCTTCGTGAGTGGTACACTGCGCGTCAGCGGGGTGGGGGTTTTGGTCCGTGCTTCTACGTTTTGCGCACTGGCGACCGTGCGGGTGAGCAGTGTGGGGGTCCCCACCCCACCCAGCGCTGCTTTGGCCGCCTGACGGACGCGTGGCGTCACCAGTTCCCGGAGGCCTCCGAGATCCCTCGCTGGGGCGAGCTGTCTAGGGCGGGTGTTGCCATCTATGATCTTGACTTTGATGCTATTCTCTCTGCCATGTATGCTGTGTCTATTAGTGATGAGGGTGACTGTTACCGGTGTTTCCCGCCCGATCCGGGCATTGAGACTGCTGCTCTAGGTTCTGGTGAGGCTGCTGCCCTAGGCGCTTGCGACGCTGCTGCTCTAGGTGCTCGTGTGTCTGCGTCCTCAGGTACTGGTGAGTCTGCGCTCTCAGGTACTGCGTCGGCTTCGGCCTCCCTCACCTTCACCCTTGACTCTGGGGCGTCTCGCTCCTTCTTTCGGGACCGCACCACACTCACACCGCTGAGTCGACCGGTTGCAGTGTCTCTGGCTGACCCCTCTGGGGGTCCTGTCCTGTCTCGCTTCTCCACAGTCCTCCCGTGTCCGGCGGCTCCCTCTGGCACCCTGTCTGGTCTCTACCTCCCCTCGTTCTCTACGAACCTGGTGAGTGGTGCTGACCTACAGGATGCGGGGGTCCACCAGTTCACTCCTGCACGTCAGAGAGTGACCCACTGTACAGAGGCTGGCACAGGCCGACACCTGGCTACGTTCACCCGTCAGCCGGGGTCGAGCCTGTACACTCTGACCACTGCGTCTCCTCCAGTTGCTGAGTCTGGTAGGGTAGTTACGTCGGGTCAGGTGTTTGCTGCGGCGTCCAGGTCTGGTCCTGAGTCTGCCCCCTGTTCGTGTCGTCTCCTGTCTCACGAGACTCTCCTCTGGCACCACCGCCTTGGCCACCCCTCTCTGCTTCGGCTCAGAGGTATG